CCTCCCACTGCTAAAGACCCCTACGCGCAAGCGAATTATTGAAATAAAATTAAACCATATGGTGGTCCCGAAATGACCTAGTTTGTGTCGAGTGGACGTTAAACCCCATTTCTCTCTCTCTCTCTCGCCTCGCAAAAATGCATATTATCGTATCAAATGTATTGGAAATACAAATGTATGACATAAATTATTAGCTATCTTTAAAGAGTATGAAAACCTATATATTTACACTCGAATCAGAAAATAGAAGCAATAATAAATGAATTTAATATTTAATCAATTGTCAGTTTTATGGATCATTAAAAATTATTGTGTGCAGCAAAGCGAATTGAATGGTAAGGACGTTATATTATACGTCGGATATAAACATTTATGTAAAGATCGATTTTCAGATGTGTCTAACTTCTGTGTTCAGATAGATTCAGCATATTTGGCATTGATATCTTTATCTTCTTTTACCATTGGCATTAACTGATAGAAATGTGGAACATAATCATTTAATAGTATTCTTTCACCATTGACAAAATCAAATACATATGTGTATCATACATTGTACCTGCACTTCACTAGATAAAATATAACAATGCCAGCTAGTCCTTTTCTTTGGGTGGATTTGCAGTAATAGTTTGTCATCAAAATTTACCCAAACACTATTTCATAAGCGTACATTGAACTAATGTTAACACACATGTAATAGACGGCGATAAATGTAATAACTGAGCATGTAATATTCAAACTGTTTAATACAAATATTTACATTGCTCTTTAAAACCCACGTAGAAAATGTGTAACTATACCTGAAGATAAGTACTTATATGCTTAACAATGAATAACACCATATAAATAAAAAGATATGTTTTGGCAGTAGACCTGATATTTAATCTAGTAAAACTATGCTTATATCGCAAACATTACCTTCTAAATTCATTATACCTACCAGTATAAATCTAAATGCATTATTTTCATCTTGACAGATCAAAAATGACGTGTTCTTGAGTGACAGGTACAAAAGACTCTATTGTTAAATTGACTTGGTGTATAATATATAGTTCATTTTCCTGTACAGAAGATAGATATATCTGCATTTCCTTTTATATACGCGATAGCATCTTGTACAGCTATTTTTCTAATCAACGCACATCCGGTCAGTGTCGACAAGGGGTTAAGTCGGGGTCATGGGTCAACACAGTTCGTCAACATGTGCCGATTTGCAAGCAGTTGCCAAAGTTGATATCGAAAACTATCGAACGGAACGGATATCGATGTGTGCCATTTTATCTTTGTGAAAAAAAAAACAGATAAAAAAATATAACAATAACCTTATGCATGAACAGGTACAAAACGTTATTCAACAGTTTGAGTATTCTGAATTTTAATTAAGGTGGTAACATATTGCTTTAATTTGTATTGCAAATAAGTTCTTATCAAACTCACACATAAAATTGGAGTCAGTAATAATCTAAATTGAAATGAAACATGTTTTCAATATAATATATATGTCATTTCTATATTAGAAGTATTATGTTTAGTACGTAATATAAATTAGCTAGAAATTGCACTTTAGATATCGATTTTTCATATACATGTAGTTATCATTAGATTGTTAGATTGTAAACTATGATACCATTGTATCATCACTCCCAGTAGTTAAATTTACACAATACATTCGATGTCGTCATGTTACTTGCAAATATAATAAAATGTTATGAATGATCCAGGTGAATAACAAATCTAATCAAATTTAATGAAATGTTGTTCAATGTCAGTGTGTATACGTGTATTGGGGTCGAGGGTGGTATTTTTGGGCCGGGAACATGTCCCCATGCGATACTCCTCTTGTTCTTGGGGGCGACGCTCTTCAAAACAACCTAAGGCTCCGCTAATTCATGTACAATCGAAATGAAATTTGGCATTCCTGTTCCTGGGACAATTCTTATCGATTGCCGTAATTCCATTTTTGATATGACGTCACGATTCTAAGATGGCTGCCATGTCGTCATGCTCCTGGTCCATAGTACCTTGGTACTTGTTTTTTCACAGCAACGATTAAAACTGTGCCTGAAAGACGCCCCAGATATTTCATGCTACACGTGTAAATTAGTTACACCCGAGAAGACTGGAATATGTGTCACGCTGACTGTTACGATGATACAATGATTACGTAAATGTTTAAGCGGCATTTAGAAACTCAATGAGAATAATACATGGCACAATTATATGGAATGCAAGAATGGTCCATCTTTAGGAAATGTTAAAAATTAACAGCTTTTATAAAATTTTATTTTAAAACCTTGATACGGATCAGTTTATTTACAACATGAATATTCATAAGTTCTTTCCATGACATAAATATTCGAACATAACATTATTCTGAACACTGGATCGAGATGTCGCGTAACATTAAATAATTCTACTAATTTATGGATTAAATTATAGCCTTTTAGAGGTCAAATGACCAATCTGTGTTGTTGTTGACACGGGTTTCAGGGCGATAATCCTATTGTTTGTAAAGAGTTATTGGTCTTTAATTATGTACCAGGTGTGGAAGATGAAGTTTGTTTGATTGTTGATTAATTACAGACACTAACAGATTGTCAATGATAAACAGGATTTAAATGCTACGTACTTAATGTCAAAACATCTGTTGGTTGGTTTAGAGAATTAAAAGTTTTGTTCAGCGTGGTTTTCCCTTGTCAATGGTGCAGGGCGGGGGTGGCGGAGGATTGACAAGCAACGGTTTCTAGAACGAAACGGCTAGGTCCCGCATATATAAAAGAAACTTTGACAGAATGTTATTGCTGTCCTGGCAAAATTTACCTTAAAGCACACTGTATTGTGCATGCCCGTCTTCATTAGCACGTTTGGTACAGAAAAGTGGGACTTAAAACCCATTTTATTTTAAAATGGCATAATAAAGTCGCCTATCTGTCTTGAATTCAGAAAAAATGCAAGCCAAGTCATTCTTTTATAGGTATATGATTTAGTTGTCGATTTCGCATGAATTCTTTAAATTAAAAAAATGTGGTACATACAAATATGTATGGGTTATATAAGTAAGTTATTGGGTTATTTCAGAAACGTGGTATAACTTTTACGATGTAAATGCGAGTAATGCTAGAATCAATTACCTGGAATGTGAAACCAATTCAACCTACAAAGTGTTAATCGTTTTCGCTTGCATACCAACGAATAAACTCTGCACTGGTTTTCCTCGTCATTAAATATCTATAATCCCCTCAACCTCTTCACATTATCGAACCTGGTGAAAAACTTTGATAAGAAATAAAATAAATTACTTTTATTCGATAAAATAAACACGATTAAGACGGGGCCAACACAAAAACTACACTATCGCATTTTTGTGTTGCCAATCTTTTTTTTTTTAAACAATGTATTGGCTGTATACAATCTTTTGTATTATTAGTAACTAACTTTTGTTATCGTGTAAAAAAATAAAGGATAAAATCTTTCCAGAGTTCTTTAGGGGGTTAATTATGTACGGACAGTGGAGTAGCGTGTCAGCCCCAATTGGATTGTTTATGTTTATTCACGGCCATCTTCCGACTCCGATCAGAGGGGATTAAAGCTTATCTTAAGTAGCTCTTAACTGTCAAATATTTAAGTTCGTGGGCAATTCAATGATTTATTTTGATATGCCAGCACCTATCAACAATCACGGTTACTTAGACAGTTAAAACATGTAGGATAGTGTTGTCATAAGTATATCAGAAGGCGGGGTTAAACATGCCGGAAGATAGCCGTGACGGACAGGTATATAGATATATACAATACATACCCTAGCCTCAATCATAAAACCCAGCGTTGATGTGTGGTCATAGTCTGCCAGTGTTCACCATTGTCATCTGATATCAGTAACTAGAAAATTTAACATTTTCGTTTTATTATTTGTGACATATTTATTGGATTTACAAGGTAAGGGGTTTATTTGTCATGGTTATCGCTGACTTCAAAAACGATGTTATATTAGTTGTGATCCGCGAAGCACCGTTTAATTTCCTGCAAGTTGATCGCGTAGACATTTTGAAGATGAACACTGTACTTACAATGTACTTCAAATATGCCAATTTTATATCCATGTTTTTAAGTTAAATTGATTAAATTTTACATGTTAAGAGAGTAAATAAATCTGTTATCAACTACACAGAAGCATTAAGTTCAAATTATATAGTTCAATTTTAAGACATTTTTATTTCACTTGTATGATTTACTTACTGACCGTGGTACTTTAGCAGTTGTTTGGATCTACCAGTTACTCAGTAAGTCGGTGTTTGTTTCCGAAAGCCAGGTATCGATTTCCCATAATGACTTCAGCTTTTAGTGTTACACTGTATGTAAAAGTTTATTGAGACTTGAGTTATTTATGTTCCTATGTCTACCTTACCGTATAGACAACTTCAATATTAAGATTCCTCTCGTATCCAAGGTGTTGATGATTAGAGAGAGAGAGCACAAATGTGAAAGAATGCCAATAATTTGGAATGTAAATATCAGGATTACGATACCTATACAAACAGTCCATCTCCATATTATAGAGGAATGTACATGTACCTTGATTGTTGGGGCTTAAATGTAGACCTTACGTCATAGTTATTTTATGCTTAAAGAAGCAAATATTTATTTGATGTTTTTATGAGTTTGGTGGAATATTGGAAGTATTTTGTGGTTTGGGCGTGCAACTATAATGGAATGGTGATTTATGATATTCATATACACGATTCACTATAAAGAATACCCAAGTTATCGTGTTTGATTTTTGCTAAAACTCACACAATGCTATGATATTTGATTCGTGGGCTAATAACATGACATGTAAATGTAAATTCGATCTTATGAATCGGGCGGAAAAAAGCAACATTAACGAGATATCCAATCATGCACAGATACTTTTGGATAAAGTTATTACTGTTTTCGAAATTGTGCAGAAACGGATATTTTTATATAATGATGAATTCATTTGAGCTTTTTTTGTTCTTTTTCAGAAGAGAATTACAAGCTTGATTTCGAATAGATTATTCTGCTGGAAAGGTAAGGATGTGTTCATATAGAATATTTTGATTTTATCAATGTACATTTTTCGAAGTTGATTTTGTCTTAATTGGTGTTTCAAAATTTGGATATGCGTTACCATGCTTTATAGATCTTATAGATTTTGAATCTTTTCATTCTGATCTGTTAGTTCAAATCTAAATGATCTTTATCTTCAAATTCTCGACATTTAAAATATCTTTATCATATTCGATTAAAACCTCAATTTTTAATTTGGTTGAATCTTACTTTTTGATGTATTTTTGATAGTATCTTTTGCCTATCTTTATTACAATTGATCAAGATTGCTTTTTTTCATTTTTGAACTGCAGTTAGCATTAGTCTGAGATATTATTGGAAATTCTCATTTACCATGACTTTATCACCCCGTAAACCCCACTTACTCTTGTGTTTTATGTATATGAATTTATCAATATCTTGATTTATGGCATCATTCTAAAGATAAAACAGATCATATCCTTCCTAATATCAACACTTGTCATTAATCCTGCTGTATTTTGAATTAGTACCCACATATAGACTGTTCTATTGCATGTTGCATTAGCTTCATTTCTCTAGAGAACATACTCCTCTTTCGCCCATTCCTACACAAGTGATTATTTATTCATAATAATGGATCGAGCTTCTATGAATATCGAAATTATTCTAAAACATTATCTTAAGATGGCCGTCTTGGGAATGGAATTTAACACATGAAGGAGTTTTGAGTTTTGATGTTTTCTTGATAGCTAGATAGTGCCGAATGAAATATTCATATTCGTGATAATATGCTGAATCATAATTTTGGTTTGGTTGATATCTTTTGGTTCTGATAGTTTGTTTGACTTGTTTAATCAACTGTGTTAAACAAATTTGAAATAATTAGTATTTACGCGTAGAACTGTTTTGCAATCAAATTCTCATAAGGCATATAGATTGTTTGTTAAACGGACATAACACAGGACATCAGAATAAGGACATGTATTATTCCCTAATAACAACGACCTCCTCGTCTAACCCTTTTGCAGAAAAGGAAATATATCACAATGGGTGCCAGCTTTGAAAAATATATCCCAGGTGACTTTCCATTAATTTACAATTGACCTGGGCATATATATATATATATATATATATATATATATATATATATTCAATTCAATTTTTTCCGAAATGTCCCTTTTACGTTGAACTATGTTTTGTCTCCTAGAAAGATATTGTTATTGCTGCAGGTCTTCCATGTGTACATTACTCTAATCAAATGGTGATGGAACTGACTTTGGTAAATTGTTTTGACATATTTGAGTGGCATTCATAAATTGCGGGAATAACACGTTTTCATTAAGGCACAAAAACATCAATATTAATACATATCATGCATATTTGATGAGAAGACCGGGTTCAAGAGTTGAAACATCGAATATCAACAATTTTTAAGTAAATTGGTAAAATCTTACGATAGCTATACTTGATTTCTTTTCTCGTCTGGCTTTTCGAATATGGGCTTTTCGTTAAGATTGGATACTATCGCATTGGAATATTTGTTTGTATCCATCTAATGAGAGGCGTGGTATGCTTTCTCATTTGAAATACTCGGCACTGCTCTGTTTGATAATGTATTTCTCGGATTTAGTGTACTGTTGGCCAATTGTAGTTCATGGGTAAATGTAAGTTCATGGGTATCGCACGCGAGACAGGTTATGCTTAGTAGTAATCTTTCTAGATGCCCTGATATTGCCAACCTTTAACCCGATCGTACTATAACTTACTCCTCAAAGAAAGACAACCCAGTAATAATGATTTTCGGTTCAGCATTTTTGCAGACAAAAAAAGGTTTATCATTGTATTGCTGTCTGGTTAGCATCCCAACGCGGAAAAAAATTGTAGACTTTTCAAAGTTCATCACTTATCTAGTTGTCAAGTCATTTGGAAGGCTATGTCGTTATTTGGTATTTTAGTGATGCTGTTTTAAATTGCGATTTATGTTTTTTCGGGGCTAATTTTATTACATTGCCGGAAAACCCATCTCGAGGAGTGATCGTTTGAACTTTGCATTTTGAAATCTGAATGCATTTTGTAAGTGGATCGGACATAATTCACCAAGCACTATTTTGTAAAATGTCAGGAGGGAACGTGAGACTGCATTTAACATTATAAAATTGTATTGTAAACACAATGAAACATATTTTTACGTACAATACAATTTTATTACAAGCGGAATGTCAATAACAAATTCCATTGTTAAGCACTTTATGTAAATATTACACTTATCCGCTAGAATGTCATATTAAATTTGAATGTACATTTTATCCCGAATCATATCAATATTGCATTCCTGTCCTATACCGAATTGCACCTTTTTTTTTTAAAAAAAAAAGTTCACAAATTATTCACATAATTATAGTTATCAGAAAGAAGTCATGACTTGTTATGTACAGAACGACTGAGTCTTTTAGTGTTTGTGGTTTTGTGCAGTATTTAGCAAGGCATTTGGTGTCAACGAAATATGGTAAATATTTTTACATTCTCTAAGTTTAAAGGGCTTTTATCATGATAGAATATGCTTTAAGTTCAAATATTTTATTCATGGTTAATGTATCATCGGTATTTTGGAATGTCTTGTTTGGGCGTAGTTGGTTATTGTTATTAAGTGTTTTGGTTTCCATGATCGGTTAAAAAGTTAAAATCAATATACCTGTACACGCTTAATATGACGAGGATTCGACCATATATAAATGCATGATTCATTTTCCTTTTATACCATCCATGTGTCAGCATTTGGAATTCCCATCGAGTTTTATTAGTAATCTCAAATATCCTCCCAGTTAAAAATTTGCCATTCTCATAAATAAATTGATAATATAACATTACTATAAAAGATAGCGGATATTCAAACAATTTACCAATTTTTAGGTATAATCTGCTGTGTTATGATGTAGTCAATTATCTGTTATATATTGTCCCGTCTCGCCCAATTAAGAATTCTCCATGTAATTTGCACAGTGTTTAATATCCGTACAATACAGAGATTAAGCCCATGTCAAACCAAATGGCTAAAAGGTCAAATCATGCATTAGCTGACCGATCAGTGACCAGAACAAATATTACCTTGTCAATATTACCTGACCCTAAGTGACATTGTTAATACTAGTGATAGTGACAATGGTAAACACGAAACCAGGTGTATTGTTTTTATCTTTTAGGGTGTGGCGACGACATGATATGTAGTGACCCATGTTAAATGCACACGGAAAATTGATCTGTAGCAAAGTGCCAGTAAAAAATAAATAGTGTAATATAATACTGATTGCTATATACAACTCCCATCACTGACTGTATAAATGTCTATAGTCTATCCTGACATTGACTACTTCTGTCATTTGTGACCGATGAGCTCTGAAAGCATCCCTTTGTATATAAACTGACACACGTATATCAAGAGTCAAGATATTATAAATAACACAAAACCCCGAGGAAATTAGAGGTTTACTGGGTTGTTTTTTTTTAAAAAAAAAGATATTTACCGAGTGGTAAAACTTTTGAGGATGTAAAATTTAATTTGTATGTGTCAGTTTAGCTTAATCCTTATTTACACAGAAAGACAATTGTTTTTAGACCGAAAATTTATGGGTTTAGAACTAGGTTAAATACTATTTGATATAAATTCAAGTCTTTACTTTAAACGTAAATTTCCTCCTATAGCTTAACAAAACATGTAATTTGATAATAAATCACCACACGGAAGCATTTAGGTGTTCTTATCTTTGTATCATGGAATTTAAATACTTAGAGTTTGAACTAGCTATATTGACAGACACATTATTTTTCGTCAATATTTTTAATGTTGTATTTTCTGAGTGATGGGATAGAATTGGTTTGTAGTTTGAATCTATTCTTGTTATATAAAAGTAGAAGATAAACAAGTAGCGACAAGAGTTGACAGATAAATCTGTTTGCAGAATCTACTTTGACGTCGACGAAAGTTGTTTGTAGTTTGTTAAAAGATAACTGGCCGAGAGAATGTTAAGCGACCGATCCTTGCCATTCTCTGTTAGCTTTTCAGGGTGGACCTTCAAGTCGTGCGCCATTTTCTTGACAACTTTTATTTTTAACTTTTCACTTGTTTGTAGTAAGTTAATGTCCGGGCCATAATGGAGGCATTCTCGAGTTGATCGTTAGCTTTTGGATCTTCTATTTACAGATATATCATCGTATTAGACATTTAGCCTACACTGACCTTTGACAAGGTTCACCCACCTGCCCTATTACATTCCACAATGTGTGCAAAGGCATTGTACAAACATTTTATCCTTAATTGTGACATGAAAGTATATCAGGAATTTGATGGTCATTATACTGCCTTTTAGTTAATATTACATTCCATGTACATGTTTATGACTATCACAAAATATGATTACTAATTTATGTAAGAGTTACCTAAACCACCCTTATATTACACTCTTTGCTGTCTTTTAGTACAGGATCAAATGCTATAATTATATGATAGAATTACCTATTGAAGCAGTTTGTATTATGGCATTCGTTCGAAATTAAATATATGGATACTATTACAACGTAATGGTGTATTAAAACGAAATTAATCAAATACCGGAGTTATATTCCTTTAATGCTCTTTGTTGATTAACAATATATAATATGATACATTAATAGAGATTGCACGCGTATTGTATAGTTAATCAAGGGTTTCTCTTTCTGTACCAAGACAATGAAATATGTTTATTCCAAGGGATTTGGATTATGAAGATAACGCATTGTCCTATGATCATATTACACCAGCTATAATGTTTTAATTCGATCAGGAATGGGTTCGTTCGGTTTAAATTTCTTATGCTCAGTGACTTTTTGGTGAATACAATGAATGTAATTATGGATTATAAGGCAACACTATATTAATGGCTATCACAAGTCAGTAGTGTTCAGCCAAGCTGAAATATAAAATTACTTTTTAACTTAAGAATTATTTACTTTGTATGAATTAGTGT